GATGGCAGGCTGGGAGCAGCCTGGCCTGGGGGGCTGCCTGCCCATGTCCCCACATCATCTCCCCTGGTTGTCACCTGAAGGCACATGGAGCCAACCGGGGGCACCCCTCTGGTTCTTGGGGACGTCAAAAAACCACCTGCTTAGGAAAAAAAAAAAAAGGCATTTCCACAGACTGCTTACTAGGAAAAGGCAGACCCAAAGGTCAGCCCCAGGGTGTTGTTCTACAAAGCAGCATGCAAAATCCACTCTGGGACAAACGTAAGGCACATTTGTTACAGGAAAGGCTGCCCTCAGCTCTGATGGGCTGGGACGATCCTCAGGGATTTTATTCTGGGCAAAACACACGGTGTGACAGAAGGAACAGGCTGGGCTGCAGAATGGTTATTTCAAATTAACGCCAACTGAGAAATAATGAGCAGCAAGTTTACATTCTCAGTAAATTAAGAGAGAAGCTTAGGTAAACTGTGGCTTTATGTGCACGTAAATAAATTATTATTTACTTGGTTTTGTGCTCATGCCCTTAAATACAAAGATGCTCAAATGGAATTATTAATATTTATAGCACATTATAATAAATATCTGTAACAGCTTCACCTGAATATACGCTATTTCACCAAGGTAAAATCTGCTGAAGGTCAAAGCAATCTTTTACTTGTGTGTGGAGGGCAGGATCAGCCTCTTTACTTTGAAATCTGCATCAAATGCAATAATTTAAAGCTTTAATTAAAGACTGGGTGTCAGATTATCTAGGAAACATCTTTGTGCTGCCCAGTATTTCATCAGGGATGGCTCCAGGAGCCCACACTAGAGTGAGCACATTGAGCAGGATGTTCTTAGCTTTTATCTGTCTTAGTGTGTAACCAATGCTTTGGTCGAGGGTTGGTGGCATCAAAAATTGAATTAAGAGCAAAAGCCAGGCCCCTAAATAGAAACATACAGCGCTTATTCTGTTTATCCCTCAAGTAAATGAAAGTGCCAAGGCAAAGCCTAATATTTTAGCAATTTCGTTAATGTATGTGTAAATGGGCGAAGGCGCTTTTGAAATGCTCTGAAGAGAATTTCACACTTCAGAGAGGAGAAAGGAGTTAACAATTCTATTGTGGCTCTTATTAGAATTTTTAAATTAATTTCCCCGACACAGCTGTGCCACGGAATCCCCCACAACCACAAACTTTTTGCTAAAGCCGAGATTATTTTCGGGTACGATTCTGAAGGAGCAATTTGTGAAATAGGGAGCTGGGGGGGATCCTGGGAATCCTGCCACCCTCTGCTCTCCTCCAGCCCTTCCTCACACACTGTGAGCTTCATTTGAAACCACATCTGGTTTTTATTCCACGCTGCTTTTTGCTTCTGCAGAGCAGCAAAAGGGGAAGGGATGTGCCAACGGCCCATGGCTTTGCAAAATGCAGGGGGGGAAGAGATGAGCGATGATAAAGTAGGGATCCCTCCTATCATAGAATCCTAGAATCACAGAATGGCCTGGGTTGAAAAGGACCACAATGCTCATCTCATTTCAACCTGCTGCTATGTGCAGGATCACCAACCACCAGACCAGGCTGCCCAGAGCCACATCCAGCCTGGTCTTGAATGCCTGCAGGGATGGGGCATCCACAGCCTCCTTGGGCAACCTGTTCCAGTGCCTCACCACCCTCTGGGTGAAAAACCTCCCCTGTCTCAGTTTAAGACCATTCCCCCTTGTCCTATCGCTATCCACCCTCGTCCCTACAAACTCACTTAGGACTTAACAACCATGTGCCATCATAATGAGAGCTGATTTATGGGGAGGAACAAGTGGAGGTTTGGAAACACAGAGTGTGGGGTCAGGGTGGTAAGAATGACACCTGGACCCTAGGTGCAGGGGGATGGGAGTCGTGGGGGAGATTTCTGCTTGGAAAGGCTGCGGCATGAGCTGCAGGACTGCTTGCGGACAGAGAGATGGTGTAGCCCACGGCAGCCCTGAGCTGGGATTTAGCAGTGGGAGGCACAGTTTTGATCCTGTAGAGGAGAGAGTTAACAACAGCTGACACACTTTGGTCTGGAGCAGCCACAGCGCCTCGAAATAACGTCTCGGGGCCATAATTCTGCGCTCTGTCACTACCAGGAAACGTGAAAACCAGTGACCTTTCATCTCCGCGACAGAAATGCTGCGCAGCACCTGGAGCCATCGCCCTCACGATGCGCTCTGACAAACGGGGGCAAGGGAGCCCCGAAAATCACCTCCTGCTGAACTCTGCCCTGGGTCCCGTGCCAAGCAGAGCCGGCTTTGCGCGAGCTGCTTAGTGAGGCAAGAGACAACAGCTCGGTATTTCTTTTGACAATAAGGGATAAATCTGCTTTTCAGATTGCTCTTAAACGATGGCGGAGGGAGGGAAATTGATATTGGCTTTTTATGAATCTTCGGGTCAGGTACGTTCACATCAACAGATTTTTGCATTAACCTCGCTGCTACGCAGCACTTTTGCCCTTGGCAAGACATAATTAAGAAAGGCACAAAAATCTATCTGAACGTATCAAGAGGAAATTATTCTCCACTTAATGGCAGCAACAGCTAAGCAAGCAGGCAGACCACGCTGCTAGCAGAGCGCGGCAAATGATGCAGGGCTCTGTTTTAACCCCAAACACCAAAATTTTAAGGATCAGCTTCTGAAATGAGGATTTGCACTACGTGTGGTTCCGGGGATTAACTTTTTCTTCCCCCCAACAGCTATATCCCTTGAGCTCTTCTCTTTGCCAGTCTAAAAGGATGACCGCAGACACTGAGGCTGAGCTAAAACCTTTTCATCACACCGAGACGTGGCACTGTAATGTCTTCACTGCTTTGGTAGGAAGCAAAAGCTAATAGATGGAAGGGGGGGAAAAGAAGACATTAAAGAAAAAGGGAGCTTGGTCATTTAAGTAGGACTGTCAGCTTGTGTTATCTTCATGCGTTTGTGAAACCGAACTTTAATTGACTGGCTGCAGTGGAGAGCCAAAAGATAAAATTGTGGTCTCAAGATGAGCAGACAGCTTAAAGTGTTGTGATCCTCATTCATTAGGATTTGTCAGAGGGTTTCAGAGGGGAAGAGATGCAGCCGTCTCTGTTATTCTTTCATATGAAGTTACCAAAATGTTAAGAGGGAGGTGAAGGGTGGGCTCTGCTCCTGAAGCCGCATCCAAGAAGAGCAACATGGGACAACAGAGATTATTTTGGCACCACCTTATTTCTGCCTCTTTGTGAATTATTTCATTCTGCTTCTGAAAGATAAAGTCCACAGCAGCTCCATGCAGATACACCCCAAAGGATGACCACACCACCGCATCGCCTTCACTCACTGCAAGCCCTGGCCTCCCTGGCCCCAGAGACACCCAAGGTGCATAGGCTGCTTTTAAGAGGGTGCTAAAAAATACTTCCCTGCCTAAACCAGGTTTCAGAGAGCTTTCTATCTGTGTTTTCAACAGGAGAGGGAAGGGAGGAGTAGAGAAACTCAAGAAACTCATGGACAAAGCCCCAGCAATGAACCCCTTGGCATCTAGCTGAGGGTCCAACCTCTACCCTGTAACCTGGAGTTCTTCATTTGCTGGGGGAAATGGTCACGGTGGGGAAGGGTTGGTAGGGAAATGCAGCAGCTCCTGAACTTCTATGAAGACACCTTTGGATGTGTACTTGTGAGAAGCCTGAGCAATGCTCACAGCTTGGATCTGTGGGATGTGAACCAGCATTTAACCCTGTACGCAAAGGGAACACAGAGGTGGTCAGACACACACTAACGCTGTTCATTTGGGATTAAATGAGCCTCTCCATAAATGCTTGTGTGGTGACAGACACAGAGATGGCCACTGCAACTCCCAGTGCAGGGTGTCTCTCAACAGTCTTCTTCCAGTGCTGGAAACCTCACACCCCACCAAGATGGGCCATATCCCAAGATGTTAGATAGAGCTGGCTTAACATCTTCTCTCCAAAGTTCATTGATGACAAACTAATGACATTTCCTATGGACATTTTTCTGCTTTTCAATAACAACATAAAATTCTAAATGAAAACCTTTTCCAAACTGCTCAGAATTTTTCCAATTCTTTAGGTAGGAATACTTTGGATTTCCAGTATTTTGCTTTTTCTCTATCTTAGAAGACCAGAAAATGTGCTGAAAATGTTACTTCTCTGTGAACATTTTCATTTGTGATCCAAAAGCAACCGTTACTCTTTCATTCTACAGCAGTGATGAGTATAGGGGGTAATACATAAGGATAGCAAATTCTAAACATGAGAAGACGAGCCACTTATATGTTAGGAAAGACATGAAAGGGTTTATGTGAAGCCAGCTCACCTCTCGATCTGCCTTCGTATCTACATTAGGAGAAAGGTGCTTTTGCAGAAATGTGTCTAAGGGCTGTGGAATGGGACCAGAGAGACCTTCTTGGAAGCAGACTAATTTTCCAAAGAGGTACTTTCAGCCATCCCAAAGCCTTTCTTGGAAGTATTGCCAAATCCAAGACCAATTCATGAAACTGTTTCAGCAAGACAGTGAGGGCCAATGCTACACACACAGACTCCAGCACACAACTTACAGTGTTACTGGCTTGGTCAGAGTTTTAGCAGACCCAGAGGGAGTTCTGTCATTGATCTCAATGAGTTTTCCCCCCAGCCTTAAGTAATAATCACTGGCACTTTATGCAGGGACAAAGATTCTGCTCTTTCCTTGGATACTTGATGTCACGTGAGAGTAATCATGAGAAAAAAATAAAGCAACGGCATGAGATGACCATCGCCAACATCATGACTCAATCCTAAAAAGCCTTACTTAAGCCAGCCGTACCACCAAAGTCAATGAGAAAACACAGGAAGGGGAGCCTTAATTTTCAGAGCAGCTGTCTCGTATCTGACACCCACACAGAAGCAGAACTCACAGCCCCAGTGCCAGTCTGTGCCAATGGAAGCAAACCTCCTGGCGATGCATCGGTAATGACAATTAATGAAACGTTTCCTTTATATCTCTGTTAAAACCAATACAGTACTTTCTTACCATTTTTGCAGACCGGACAACACTGCTCTGGTTCATAGACCGGGTTGACACACTCGGGAACTGCGCAGTCTGCTACAACACAGTGAACTTCATTGCTGGGCTCGCAGCGACACCATTCGCATGGCGAGGGCTAGGAACAAATCTCAAATTAGCCCATTTCTTCCCGTAGCTCAAAAGTTTGCAACATTTCTATCTTGCCATAAGATAAACACATCAACGTTTAATACCTCTTGACTGCATTGGTTCATCATGGGAAATACAAATCAACCTGTAGGACAAAACAGCAATATCTGAAGTAGGCAACCAGAACATCAGGAAAAGCAGCGAGTGTGATGTTTTTCCTAGAGAGGGTGCATGTTTTTTTTTATCTTCTGTCAGACTTGAATTTTCTTCAGTAGGAAGACCAAGCAAAGGCCATCAGGTGAGATGGAGTGGCCTCTACGTGCTCATGTGACACACAGCACTGCTCTGTTTGTTATACAGGGTCTTTGGAAGACCACAAATGGTGGCTCTTCCCAGAAACAGACGGAACCAGAAGGACATGCTGATCTTCCAGGTCACACTCATTATCTCATGTAGACCACCACAGGCAGCAAACCCCAGGCTGTCAGTAAGGTGCTGTGAAGCTGGCCCTTCTGTCCACCAGACCCTCTATGGGTTTGGCTTCCAGTTCTCAGAGCACAGGAAAATGGTGTTGGAGAAGCAAAAACATTCAATTCTGTGTTTGTGCAGCACCTGAGTCGAGGGTCTGTAAGCACTCCTATAACACAACCATCAGACCTGGCCCTGGCCCCACTTCTGCCTGTTTCAACAAGGTTGATGAGAGAGTGCTTTGCACTGAGCATGTGAATAATTAAGAGCCTGAATAACTGCTGAAGTCAGTGAATTTGGGATTAAAGCACCCAGCTAAATGGCTTTGTTTAAGCTCCATCAATTCAAACAGGAATCTATATGCCTCCAAATGGTAGAGTTGTCACTGTCTCACTCTAAGAGAAGCTGTGAAAATCTGTTGAAAAACAGAAAGGTCAGTGTGCAAGGCTCCAGTGCCCTTACATGTCTGCAAGTGCGATGAGACAGTGGCAACAGAGCTAAGAAAGGATCCAAAGGAACATGAAAGGAACTAACTTCCTTTCGATACCTGGAGGTTCAACATCTAACACCCAGCTCCTCCAATGGTAGATCCACTTCAGCTAGTAAATGTGATGATGGAACAAATCCTGCTTTGCACTGCTGGGAATCTGCAGCAGTGGGATTTACTCCGCATCCAAAACAAGCAAGCGGATGCAAACGAAAAAAGGCATCATCCCCATGTGCTTCAAACCTCAGTGATGCATCACTCATGTCTACAAGACAGGCACAACCCCGTGAGCCCTGGTTCTGGCAGGTAAAAAGCTTTTCGCTTCACCTCTAAGAAGCTCCATATGTCTCGCGTCAAATAATTTATTCCCTGGAAATTCATTTCTACCTTAAAACGCACTAATTAAAGCTCCCTTGCTTTGTCTCAGCATCTGCAGTCTATAATTCCCATCACCTCTTATTTGCTCACGGCTTTGGCAATTTAGATAAAATCAGCACTCCTTGAGCAAGGGAAGAAGTCTGTGGAGGTGGAATTCCTCTCTCTAATTATCTTTCCTCATTCAATCCTGCTTTGATTTCTGTCTGAAGCACCAGGAATCTAAATTCATTTGACTGACATTTCTTATTCAAGGCTATTTAATAAGAAGAAACAATGCAGAAGGAAATAGACAGGACTATTTGCTGAGGGATCAATAAGAAAATTGCTGCTTTGTTTTTACTCATTTTAATCGCTAATTATATGGAGCACTAGAAGTAGATCTTATGATTCGTGGAGGCTTTCAGTGATGTATTCTTCAGGGCTTGCTCCCACCTCTACTATTCCAGTAGCTGCAATTCTAAGAAATAATGTGGTGCATTTTCAGGACTGCAGCTCAATCTACTGCTTGAAGAGGATCAGCAGATGCAGAAGATGCCCCTGAACGACCGTGCTACTGAGTAAATGAGACATGACATACACATCTTTTGCTATTGTGTTGTCGGTGTAACTTGAAAATGACACTGTAATAAACCATGATGCTGCTTGACACTGAAAGCGGCTTTTCAGGAGGGAAGAACAGCACACAATTACAAGAATAAAAGCATGCCTTGGCAGTGCAAGGAGCAGGCAGCCTGCAAACGAAAAGGCTGCTCTGGCATGAATGGCAGGACTTTCTCAGCCACCACCTCTTCCCCACCTTACCAAGGTCAAACGACATGGTCTTGCCTCCAGGATCTCCCTCTGAGCACTTTGTTCATTCACTGGTGCCCCTGTACTGTGGCTCGCCCCCACAGACGACTCCAGCCTTCCCACCCACTTCCTTTATGAACATCACAGCATCTTCTCCCACTGGCTGTGCCTCGGGATCGTTTCAAGGGATCTATCATGCAGCTATGCCAATCTTCACAAGTTCCAGGATCTGGATTTAAAGATCTATCACCTGGGAAGATGGATGGTTTATCTTTTTGTATCTGCTGAAGTTCATCCACTAGTCAACACCAGTTCCTGAGAAGACGCATCCATCCCTGCTGAAAAACAAGGCTGAAAAACTATGGAAGGTTTCTAAAGTATGATAGAGAAAGGACACAAATCAGAGGCTGTGCCACATTCCCACATGGACAGTGAATGCACTTTGTCGTATCCCACGAGACGATGCTCTGGAAGAAGGTGCTAAGATTAAAGTATCATAAAAGGCTTGGGCTAGAAGATGATTTACACACTCCATCTGTCTGAGGCAAAACAATCTCTGAGAAGGGTTCTAGGGAAGGATTTGTTAAGAAGGATTTCAAGACATACTGGTGCAGAAACATTCCTCTCACCATTGTTCAAAACAAAAGGACGTCCACAGTCACAACAGACAGAACTGCGTGGCTCCTTACTTTTCCATGTGTATTCTGAGAAATGGACTTGCCATTAAAACCACAGGGTCAAACTGGTTGTTTTTGTCAAAGATGCCAGTACTGTTTTGTGACTTGGGAAAACTGGTGCAAAGCACCTCACAGCCTTTTTTACCCACTTTTCACTTATGTCAGGCACAGGGGCCAAGTCAAGCCACGATGGTTGTTGGTGGATATAACCAACATCTGGCCACCATCCCGTGGCTTCTGGGAACAGAGGAAATGGGAAACCAAGCCCAAAAGATCTTCTCATTAACCCTGCTTGACCTCTTCTCCTACTGGTCACTTTAAGAAGACCAAAGAAGCACGAGGATGTTTACAAGCCACACCTCATGGCCCAACTTCCATTTCAGTTGCTGGACTACTGATCTCAAGGAAGGCTGTAACCCCAGGTCTGGGCTGCAGGAGGGAGGAGTGCTCAAGCTAACAGCACGGCTGGAGAACCTGAGTCTCAGGTGTTGTCAAATGGGAAACATCTGCAATCCACCAGGCTCATTAACAAAGAAAGAGGGAAGGAAAATTAAAAGAGAGGATAGAGAATATGCATGGCTAATAAAGATTTTATGTGTGTGAGCACATAATTATAAACTTGATAGATGACACAAACAAACAAATGGAAAAGGCAGCAAAGGAAACAGAATGAGAAACAAGTTACACTCTGAGCAGGGGAAATCACGAAGCCACACTAGTGTGAATACCATATCTCCTAAACTTAACTCTTGCTCCCCAACATTTTCACCTTCTCTAGGAGCAAATGCCAGCACACATGCCAGAATGATGCTTGCTAACATCACCCAGCTACTCCTCACAGTGACAAGGGGTTCCCTTCCTTACAGCACTAGGTCCTTCCCTAGCCCTTAGGTTTCATATAACCACAAACTTCATACCTCTGAGAGCTCTACACTGGAGGGCTTCAGCCAGACAGATCACAAGATCAAGCAGTTCTTCAGCCTAAAACATGAATACTTCCCAGACTCTGAGGACAAGTGGAGGAAAGAAAATGGATAAACAAATTCCCAGTGTCCTTGCTCTCTCTGCCTATCACACAGTAGCCCTTCATCGATCACACGTAGCTACTGCCAAACAGCTACAGAGCAATACAAACTCCACGCCTATTATATCACAAATACTTGATCTTTGCTCTGAGGAAAGAAATACAAAGGCTTTATGTAAGTGTTTACATCCATCTAACCACGTTACAATAGACACATACTGATCATCACACAGGGCTGTTCAAGTTGGTAGGACACTAAGTATTTCCACTTAATTCAACAGACCTGCAATTGGGCCCTCTGATGTTCTTCACAGTTAAATGGGTACCTTTACAGAATGCACAGAATAACCAGGAAATACGCTTGGTTGACTGGAGTAAGAAATGGCACAGAACAGAAGAAAACCCAGTGGAATTTCTTTCTGAGCCCCATGGTAACTCAAGGATCCATCACATCACAGCAAGCGCCAAGAAGGTGCCAGGACTGGGTATCACTGGGAACCTTCATCAAGCTTGTTAACCTTACTGAAAAGGAAATGGCACTTTTTTTTTTTTCCTGTGCCTTTTTTAGATTATGCTGCCAAGGCAAAACCACTGTTCGTGGCAGTTTCACTGAACATAGAACTGCTATGCTTTGTTCCCTGTAAGAGTGTGCTAGAAAACGAAGTGCAAATGCCTTGAAAGGGTAGAAGCTGCCACTGTCTCCATTTCTGATGATGTCAAGGTGGTTTTGAATGCAATGGATCCAATCTGACACTTCTGCACACATTTGTCAGTACTTTGATCCACTAGTGGTATCCACACGCGCTGCACCTCCATGGTAAGGACTGGATGTGTCCCATCCCTTCAGAGCACTGAGACACATGGCAGGAACCCCAAAGACCATCTTCACCACCACCAATCTCTCAATCTTTTAGGTTTTGAGACAGTTTGCACCCATGTTCATACAGCAATTGCACCCCCTCCCTCCTCAGATGGGCTCTACTGATGGCATCCTGCTCCGCACTGATAGAACTGCAGGGGAAGCAGAGCAATGCAAAGTGAAGCCTGTCAAATTGGGCACTTACATCTTAAGAGCAGCTGTAACTTTTAATGACACGAAGGACAATAGCAATTCTGATGGATATGATTTTTGTAGCTACTTGCAGGCTGTGAATTTATTGGCAGGAAGCAAGTAAGGGAAGAAA